CCGAGTTTGCTTAGGCAATTTGCAAAGTTTTCGCTGATCCTGCCTTCCTCAAGTCTCCTTTTCATTGTTTTTCTCTCAGTCAGTATATCGAGGGCCTCTAGGATCTTGCGTTTTTTCGTATTTTCACCACATGCAGCCAACTTTTCGATAAATTTCCAGTCGATCTTATGTACAGTTCGTGCAATGTGTTCGGCTATTTCGTATCTTTTCGTATCCACGTTCTTACAGAGTATTTGATGTGCCTTGATGCGTAGACCGATTTTTTTTACTCTTTCGCCGATATACTTCTGCTCACAGTTGCCGCGTTTGATGCGATAAACTCCCGAACAATCAAGTTTGTCCGTCTTCTCGTGTTGCGTCGGCAGACTGGTGAAAAGAGTTTTCTTCTCCTATGTTATCACCCTGATATTCCATTCCATTAGTAACGGTCGCAATTGTTGGCTCAGTTCTGATTAGGGCAGGCAAATCCACTTCTGGTCGCCGTCCTGATTTCTGATCTGATTTTCATAAAATCCAAGTTGAAATCGGCTTTTTAAAACCTCTACATTTTTACTATAAATTCTCTGGGGTATCCGTCACTAAGGAAAAATCAGTGTCAGTTTGTCCAACTCCTCGTCCCAAAATTCATTGTTCTTTAGTCGTAAGCTTCTGATGATCAAACTCCTCAGTATTCCGATCTTCAGTCTGTTGTTATGATAAGATTGAAAATTAAGGATTATTCCCGCATATGAAATTTTTCTGTATAGTCTCCTCATGAGTACCTCCTTCGAGTGTGTGACTTCAATATCCAGAAAAGGTAGTCGTTCATCCGCCTCCACCTCCATCGTCAAGTTAATTCTTTTACCAAGTTAGTTAAGAAAATTGAGGAATTCATTTAAAGTTTACTTATCATCTGACCAAAGTGCAAAGTAGTCATCCAAATATCGCATGAGCACTCTTGGTTGCAGTGACTTGATGAATTCCTTTCCAACTTGTCCATTTGCCAAAAGAGGTGAGAGTGGAGATCTTATGGGTAGTTTAAATATATGCTCGTAGATAATGCAGTTAAATGTGAAATATGTTGTCATAACTGTCAGGTTGATTAGTCGTGTTAACGACTCTTTCCGTATCCGTTTTCGCTCCAAAATCTGCAGCAAGACGCTTACCGCCTTCTCGCCTGAGATTTTTGTGCACATGGATTGTACATCGAAACTCACCAACAGTTCCGACACCACTAACCCAATTTTCTGGATCCTTTGAGAAAAGTTATATGAATTCTTGATGGTATTCCAGAATCTGTCATTTAATTTTTTGAGTTTTAAGCAAATGAATTTCGATAGTTTGTGTATTGCTCCATGCGTGTTGTTGACTATTAGTCTTAGCGGATTTCCTTTCTTGCGTCATTTTTTATTAAAGATTTTATCATCCATCTGTCAATTTCCCCGTTATTATGCATTTTCTTGAGCATTTTCTTCAGGGTCCCGTTAATCTTCATGGTTGGATCCTTCCTTAGTATTTGATAAGTATTCCCATCGCCTAGGATACTTTTCATTTTCTCCGTGTACTCTTTCCTGTCCATTATAACCTTTGCTCCTTCCATATTCGTATGAAGAACTATTTGACCATTATTTTGTAATCTTTTGCATATACCAGTCAATCTGTTCCTGTGTATCGGTTTTTGATGTGTCAGGATCCGTGGCATCATTTCCAGTTCCATTTCCCGCCTTGTGTCTTCTCGATATTTATATGTTATGTTGACAACTTCCACCAGAATATCACTAAGAGCGTTTTCCTCATTACCTAGTGGAAAATGTAGTCCCTTCTTTGAGAGATCTGCAGTTTCAGAATCAAGAGGGATTGAAGATAGGTTTACTACTTTTGTCCTATCGTCGTCTGTAACAGTTGATGCCTTCAACTAAGTACCATCAAAATTTGCCCGGGTTTGCTTTCGCTGTCATATTATCCCATAGCTAAACAATTTCCTGTCATGCTGCTTATTTATCAGATCCCGGACCTTCTGTGACTTCTGATCGGTCATGCTCTGGATTTTTTAAAAATCGTCCAAATTGAGAACCCTACATAAATTCTTCCTTAAAATAGACTTGAGATCTATGAACTTAAATAGCTTACGCCTCTCAGTCTCGTAACTTTCCTTTAATTACTGGATGGATGCCTGGAGGTGAGAAGTTAGAAAGCACTTTCCTGGAGATATTGGAGCGAGAAGAGGATATCCTGGAGGCAGAACTGATACGGAAATAATCGTTTACACGACGGATGAACCTGACAGTAAGGACCACATATTTTACATTAAAAGGCAGTATCTACGAGAAAATATTTGGACTACCGATGGGATCTCTACTCTCACCTCTTTTGGCAAATGTATACATGGACATGTTGGATAGGGATTCGAGAAGTCACCACTGCAACCAAGAGTGCTTATGCGATACTTGGATGACTACTTTGCACTTTGGTCAGATGGTAAGGAAAATTTAAATGGATTCCTCAATTTTCTTAACTAACTTGTAAAAAGAATTAACTTGACGATGGAGGTGGAGGATGATGAATGACTACTTTTTCTGGATATTGAAGTCATACACTCCAAGGAGGCACTCATGAGGAGACTATACAGAAAGAATTCATATACAGGAATAATCATTTATTTTCAGTTCCATCATAACTACACACTGAATATCGGAATACTGAGAGTTTGATCATCAGAAGCTTACGACTAACGGACAATGAATTTTGGGACGAGGAGTTGGACAAACTGACACTGAATTTTCCTTAGTAACGGATATCCCAGAGAATTGGTAGAAAAAAATGTAGAGGTTATAAAGGGCCAATTTGAACTTGTATGTTATGAAAATCAGATCAGGAATCAGGAGGGCGACCAGAAGTGGATTTGCCTGCCCTCATCAGTACTGAGCCAACAATTGCGACCGTTACTATGAGAATGGAATATCAGGGTAATAACAAAGGAGAAGAAAACACTTTTCACCAGTCTGCCGACGCAACACCAGAAGACAGACAAACTTGATTGTTCGGGAGTTTATCGCATCAAATGCGGCAACTGCGGGCATACTGGTTCTGTTATTTTTGCTCGATTGTAAGAGTATGTATATTTGTGCTTGTTAGCATCTATATGCAATACACTTCCTAAAGCAGACTTGTCAAAGGGTAAATCTCAGGTTCTGATCCTCAAGACCTAATAACCAAATAGAAAACTTTGACCGAGACTGCCTAGGTTCGTAAATAAGTATGGTTGAGATAATGAAAG